AATAAAATCTTTAAAAAAAAAAAAAAAAAGAAAGAAATAGTATATCACTTACCATATTATCTAGTGAATTAGATATACTTATCCCAATTTTACATTGAAATTTGGGGGTCAGGGTATTTCATCATCTAAGTACAGTATATTGCTCTTGAACCTTGGGTTATGGTAGGAATCAATTTAAGTCTAAGATATTGGGACAATAAATGCGAGCCCTACCTCTGACCACTGTGTAGCTATGGCTTACTATTTTTGGTTAAGAAAACAACTTATGTAACACCCAATGCTCATCACATCACAGCACTGGGTGTGATACGCAACTGATGAATTACTGAACACTTCCTCTATGATATACTATATGTTGGCTAATTGAATTTAAATTTAAAAAAAAGAAAGCACCTTATATGGTATGAAACCCTGATTTTGCTGTTACTGTTTTGTGCATAGGCTCCAGCACTAAGGAGCGTAGCATCTACAATTCCAAAATGCAAAAAAACTTTGAAATTTAGTTTTTTCCCCTAGGTTTATGGCAAACATTTGCTGGAAAAAAAACTAAACCATTTGTTCTGTATATATAAAGGCATTAATAGTGTTTATTTTTTTCTATAGGATAAATATTTATATACTTTATAGCATAAATATAAATGTTTTGGAATATGGGCCTCTCAGATCTCATTGGGGGGGCATGACATCTATAAATTTTGTGTAACATCTTACCTTTTCTAAAACAAAACAATAACAAAAACAAATGTGGATTCAAGAACCCAGTACTTTAAAATAAGGAATTGTAGACACTGGGCTCATGGGAGGCAGGACAGTTACCTTTGGGTATCTTTCGTGAGTGCTTCCCAGTGCATCTTATAGACAGGCAAATAGGATGAGATTCATAATTTTTTATATCTCACTGTAGACATAAGCGAGCATATCAGCAGCCATTGCTAAATAGAACTTTGCCCTGGGATCTTCAGGTCATTCCTCATGAATGTGTCCATCACTCTACCATTAGCTTTAAAGAAGAGAGCATGGAAGGATAGATATCAGATAATTTGACCATCTGGACAGGAACAGTGGCTTCTCTGAGCCGTCCTCTGTATTATTTATCTTTAAAAATAGCAATTTTAACATTGCCCCAAAACTAACAGAAAAGAAACTCTGTTCCTCAGTGTTCACACTGGATTTATATCAGTGTTACATATGACTCCGGGTACAGGTTTGAGATAGGAGCATGTAGGCAGTGTTTTGCCCTGACCTTCTCTCAACACTGTGATAACTGTTCTGTCCAGCATTTGTGAAGAAAAGTGACGGAACGATGAAGTGCTGTCTCCTCCAGAGCAGAGATCAGGCTTGTTGTAGTCACTGTTTATCTCCCCACCATGGCTGCCTCGTCCAGGACGTCTGTCCCATGCCCTACACTAAAACATCCCACGTATGGATGGTTCTTTACTTTCTGGAGATCCATTTAAATGAATCCACCAAAATAGCTTGCGAACCCACCATAAAGACAACTGCAAATTTACCACTCTTCAAAAATAACTGAAAATACCTTCAGACAATAAGTTTCAGGACAGTAAATGGGTTTCTACCTATACTTAGTGTTTCTAAATGAATTATTACTTTAAAACATTAAAATCAATTATTTTAAATTATTAATAATGTAATTATTAAATAACTATAAATAATTAATACAATTAATTATTATTTTAAAACATTAAAACACCTCACCTCTACCAAATATCTATGTTGAAACATTTTAGTGGGCTTGGAAATAAGGTAACAATATTTAAGTGGTACTTGCATAATTGCACTGAATGAGAATTTAGAACTTGCGTAGATTGGTATGTAAATGAAAGGCCACACAAAATTAACACTACTGACTAAGAGTTGTGATTAAGATGGGGTTCTAACGAGAAGGTTCTTAAAGTCTTTTTCTTCCTCTCACAGTGCTAAGCTATTCAAGAAAAACTGAACTTTTAACATGTCTGTTAATATGAACATGTTCCCAATATACTGTATAATGTGACTTGATAGTAACCGCAGTTACCTGTAAACATCAAGGACATAGAACCACGTAATTTTGAAATGATGAGTAGTTCCCAAAAGGTAGGATAAGACTAGAGAAATACAAATCATCATCACTTACTATTTATTAAGCACCTTCCTGTGAGTGGCATTTATATTTCACAGGAGGGACTCTGCCCTGTAAGAACTAAAGCAAGAGGTTCAGCGTAGCTCAGGAAAAAAACAACAGAAACCTAGTAGTCTTCCTACTAGGGAAGTGGAGTGGGGGGCATTGTAAGTTAAAACTCATATGTAGCAAGAGACATTTTGCGTGGAGCTGATGTTGACTCTAAGCCAAGGCATCAGAAAGGATCCTCACAAAGTTATCTCATGTTTTGTGATGATCTCTGTCCTAGTTGATTTTTTGTATGATCAGTTCCTTGCGAGCTGGGGGAGTGGTAACGGTGGGAAGGACTAGCATTCTTTGAGTGCTTCCTAAGTGCCAGTCACTATGGTAGAAGCCGTGCAATTCCCCCTGAATCCCACTGTTGGCCTGAGGGTTAGGGATTATCCTCTTCCTGTAGATGAGAGGACCAAGAAGGGTTTGCCTGAGGCGACCCAGCTAATAAGTAACAGACTCAGAATTAAAGTTAAGACTCCAAAGTCCATGCTGTATCCCCAGCACTGCACTCCTTTCCCAAGACAGTTTCTTATTGCGCTTTGTTTTTTGAACACTAGACATGAACTTGATGTGACAGCTGAGTAAAAGTGTAGCCTCATATGAACCATCACAAAACAAAACTGCATTATCTTATACATGGAAGTTTCATAACATGAAAGATAAAATTCTCACATCTGCCTTCTTAACATTGAATGTTATAATATTAAAGTACTATGCGTTTAGGAAGGCCAGCCTGAAACCTGGAAAATGTATCTGGAGAAGAAGAAGCCACATAATGATACATTGCTGTCCCCTAGATGTCTGTAGTCATTTCCATCTTAAACACCAGAGACTTCCCAGCACCCCATCCGCAATGCTCTGCTAACAAAATCAGACCACCTGCTGCTAAAGCTGCCGAATTCCTCAAAGCAGTTACAGATTTTAGTGTTCCTCGGGGGTCCCCAGGTCTGTAATGTTAGATCATTTTAAGAAAAGAGTAAGAAAAGTGACTCTAAAAATGGCCCCTTCTCACTCCCCGTATCTGTTTATTTCACTGGCAAAAACAAGTTTTACAACTATTTGCAAAACCACTGGAGTTTTAGATTAATTAGCTTTGTTGCCTTAATGTAGCTAATTCTCAGTGACAATGAAGTATGTCTAATAAGTACCAGTTAACATCCTTAGACTTGGAAAAATGTGTGTAGAAGATAAGTACAAATGTCAACATTTCTAAATATTTTGCTTCAGCAAAAACCTGAATGTTTGTGTAATTCCGAGTTCATTCTGCAGATGATCCTTTTATTTTTATTTTTTGTATATGATAAAAATTGTTCCATTTCAGGCTTTCAAAAAAATTGGCAAAATATAGAACTGACATAACTTAGGACAATTTAACTAAAACTTTTATAGTGGGAAAAACACAAGATGGAAATTTTTCAACTGAGTCCATTCCAGTGATTAAAACAAAACTGCATAAACATTTGCTATAACACATGTGGATTTCTTATTAGCTCTCTATGCTTATTATGTTCTTTGATATCAAAGCAAAATTTTAGAAATCAACCACTGGAGACATGGCATGATTGGGAGGACTGGTGATGTTTAAAGTGCATTTCACAATTATTGCTTGAATTCATTTATTTGACAAATAATTGGCTTCCTACTGTGGGAGACACCATTCTACGTGCAGTGGAAAAAAACAGATGCATTATTTCTTGCAGTGTGCTTTTAGAAGTTACACAATTACATGGATTTGTTTCTGTGGAGATTATTCTAAACGTTTATTGAAAAATAAATATTTCTCCTTGTCATTTTACCTAGTATTTTCTGAAAATAGGTTTCTTTTTAATGAAATTAAGGAACACATTTCATACCATATTGGAGTGGTAATGGAACTTTTCTAGTTAAAAAGTCTATGAAATTTCTTCTTTATGTAATTTTGAGGATTTCTTTACATAACTAAAAAAAATATTATTTTACACCATAATATGTGCGAAGTGGAAAAAGATATATAGTAATAATTCTTGTAATTCTAAAAATGCCATGCTTAGAATGCACCCAGTAAGTCAACCAAGATTTTAGAAGTTAATAACACTGCTGGCAGACTTTGTATTTTTTGTTAACCATATTGTACAGGGTCTGTATCCCCATTTGACTTAAATATAACTGGGGGGTGGGGAAATCTTTTGGCTGGATTATTGGGAACAAAACTCCCCTCAGCTATGGGAAAAACTGGCCTCGAGAGTATCTAAATACTTTAAATCTCATTTGCCATCTGAGAAAATGGGGTAAAAAGAATCCCTGGGCTGCAGACTTCTCAAGCAATCTTTTGTTTAAGTCTAACTCTCTCTGGTGGTCCTGTGGGCACACTGGGGTCTCTGCCGAGTTGATAATTCATTTCACACATTTGCACCTGCTCGGCAGCCTCACAGAGAGGGCGCAACTGCTCAAGAACGTCTTTAAGAAGAACCACGTGAACTTGTACCGGTCTGAATCATTGCAACAAAACCTGCTCCGTAAGTACCTGAGTTCCGATCCGTAAATAAATTCCCTGCCGTTAGGTCCTAGCATGTATGAGAGCGGCATTTTGACTTCAGGAATATTTAACTATTTAAAATTAATACCTAAAGCCAATTTTGCTTCTTTGCAACATGTTACATAAATAACCAGTGATTAGAGAAACCTTTGACCCAACTATCTCACTTAGAGCAGACAAGACAAAGCATTTTAAAATCTTGCTGCTTTCACTTGAAGAAATAATATTTCCACATGCCCCATGCTTCCTTAAATCTTAAAAAGAACTAGGGAAATAAATCTTAACTCTTAAAAGCTCCTCTGTATTGTTATCTTTTCTACTTGAATAACTTTGCAAGGGCTTTTTCAGCTTTCAAACAGCACAGTGAAACATATATTTCCCCCTTCAAAAATATTTATGAATATTTAGAGTTGTAAGAAATTATTAGGTATCAGGCCCTCTTAACATTTCAAGGATCTGAAAAAGAATATAATATATAAAGCCCTGTAGTAAATGTATTTGTGTTAGTAATATATCTTTTGTTTCATGTTGTTTCCACATATAATTTATTTTCATTTATATATACTCATGTTTAATGCTTTTGCCTTTTATACTTCAAGAGGCCTTTTCTAAAGATGTGACCCCCTTGGGGGTCGTTGCTTATCCCCAACCATGCTGGGGCATGAGTGAGTTTATTTGTAGATGCCGAGAGCCAAGGACAATGCCGTCCCAAGGAAGGAGACCACTTTTCCAGCACTGGCAGTCCGGGTGTTTATCTCTGCCTCCTTCTCATTTTTATTCTTCCTTCTCTCTCATCCACCCGATCTGGGTGGAAGTGTATGTGCCCACTAGACTAGACACCCCCGCCAGTAGCCAGGAAGCAAAAATTGGATGGCTTGGATTTGAGATGCCGTGAGGAGAACCGAGGGGTGTTGAGAGCACCTGCTCATTCATCCAGGGGCAGAGTTCATAGAATCTCAGCTGACAGCCTGCAGTCAGCCCACTCTTCATGGTGCAGTTGAGTCCACATCTTTTCGGAACGTAAAAAATTCATGTCTTCGCGCAGGCTTTTGAAGGCAGGAGGGGCATAGGAGTTCCCCAAGTTAGAAAATGAGTCCTTCACACTCAGAATAACAGAGATTCCCAGTGACCTCACAATGATCATATATGTTTTATCTTTAACTTACAGACGGGTATGCTTTCTCACAAGACGAGAATGGAATCGTGTCACAGTCTGAGGTGATTCGAGCATACGATACCACAAAGCAGAGACCCGACGAGTGGTGACGGGACGGGGGCTGCGAGGCGCAAGGGCTGCTAGGGCTCTAAGGAGAGCTCCCAGGTCTTACCGGATCTGCTGACCAATTCCAGTCTGGTCCCAGGAGGGGAGAGTGGATCTGAGCTCATCTCATTGATTGACCGTCAGATTCGTGTATATTACAGACATAAGCACTGTGCAACTCTACCGTAACACCATCTCTTTCAGATTTTTTAAAGTATTTGCTAAGTCTTTGTAAGCAGAAATTGAAAATGACCTTGTCACCTTGCCAGAATGCTTTCTTAAACTGAGAATAGGTCAGTGGTCTTAAGCCATTACTCTGGGGCTGTAACTGACTATCAATTTATTGGATATATACCACAAGGCAACCAACCATGAAAAAACTCCAAAGTGGTAGTAATTTATAGGGACTCTTGATATCCAGACTTGGATTTCAGAATATGCTGAAAAAAACCAGCACTCTTCTCTAGGAACTGACTCACCTTCCTGAGCAAAATTTCTAAACAAGACATTAACAAGTGTTTGTGTCAAAAATTGTCTTGATAAATGTTTGCCAAAGACATTCAGTAAGTGTATTTCTCATTCAGTAGTCATTTGCCCAGAAAGTTAAGAGGAAGTTTACCTCCAGCTCTGCTGTAAGATCTGCATGCTTGACTTTTCAAATGTAAGAGTGATTTGCAAAAACGAGTATTTCAAGGCATTTGCTACTAAAATCCGTGATGTTGCACCTTTGGCCTTACACGTGCTTCTTTCTTGTTTGTCTTGTTTACTTGTTAACGTTGGAGGACATACGTGGCAATGTGACTCTGTCATTATGATACTGATTTCTAAACTGTATGTATGTCTCCGTCATCTCTGATGATCAGTCCTCATCGTTTAGATTTTTCTAAAAATCTGGCTTCTGCTGAAGACTGAGTGCTGTCCTTTTATCTTAACGTTTTCTCTCTCAAGAAAAATATGCTTAGATATTTATGTGAGCTCCCCAGTGCTTGCGTGGAGATGTTTGGAACACCGCGCTGGATAACTGCATGGGCTTTTGTAATGTACATAGGCTCGGCTTTTGTCCTGTGTCTGGGTCTGTCTACTAGTCCGTGCTAGAGATGCCTGCTGGCACACATAGCACCCCGTGTTCTGGTGACCACCCCTGTACTTAGCCCTGAGAATTACTTCACAGCTCGCTAGTCAAGCAGCTTCCCCAAATTAGTCACATGCTGCTAATCGGGACAAAGAAGTAGCACATATTCCCCATTTTAAAAACACCTATTTTACTCAAGCCTATAACTTTACGGTCAGAGACACTCTTCATCACAAGTAGATTTTGTTACTGTGTTTTTAAATGTATGTTCAGTTTAATTTTTTTCAGCATTTCCAAGCCATCTCCTGAAAAATGCCTATTTTGCTACCAACAATAAATGGTGAAGGGGCTGTTTAAAAACCGCAACCAGTTTTCTATACTCTTTTTAAAATAATGCTTTCGTTTAAAAAAATAAATAAAAAGGAATTCGAGTTTTCAGATACACTTCAGAGATTGAAACTAACTTTTTGCCTTTTATTCAGAAGCCTGTTTGCCTTTAAGTGGACTTACCAGCAAAATAGGTAGAACTTCCTCTTTAAAAAAAAAAAAAAAAAGTCAACTATAATTGTGAGGAGAGGAGATTTTCCAAGTCACTCCTTGAGTTGAATAATTTCATATTCTTTTTACCCTTTTCCTTCATCTAGGTTTAAAATTAGGTGATATGTCATTTCCTTGTCTATATTTTTAGTTGTTTATTTACAAGTATGCCTCCCGCATTTTCTAGAAACAAGAGAGGTTATCACACATACATAATTCTAAAGGGGGTAAGGAGTTGACACAGTTCACTTCCTAGACCATTCCTGTTTGGGGTTCAGATGAAGAAAATTGCCAACTGAAACACCTAGAAAGACCACAGGTGTAAGAGTCTGAGACCGTCTTCAAAACTCTGAAGGTCACAGATTTTGTCTACCGAAGGGATATTCGGAACAGCTTTCCTGGGCCTCCCCGTGGCGAGAATCGAGGTCAAACCACACAAATCAAAACACAAGAATGAGGTACATCCCTCCGGAGAAACACTTTATCGTGGTCACAGACAAGAGCTGCTTCCCTTGGCCTCCACCTCATCAGTGGCATCCTTCCCCCAAATTTTAACATCAAAATATGATGAATATAATAGAACCGAATCTTCTGGCTTAAAAAAAAACTAAAAGTTTTATTTTTATCTTAGAACATGGATTATTTCTATGGAGCTCTTCAACATGGGTAGAATACCCATGGTTAATTAATGCATGAGACCATGGTCTGAAATACGGCTAATTTAGGTCTTTTTTGTCCCATAGTCCTATTTTTGAATTATTAAGTCAATTCCTTTGCTTCTTGGGTGAGAGAGGGGGGTTGGGCAGCAGGGAGTGACCTCCTTGGTAAAACTTAAAACACAGCATTGCAATCACAGTGACTTTATAGTGTTAGAGAAAACCCTCCGATTTTTTAACCTTCCAAAGGATGGCGGGGTGGGGGGCGGGGGGGCGGTAAGAGTTTTACCAGGATTAAAACAGCTGAAGTGACTTTTAACTTTTATTTTCTGAAATAAAGGACACGTCCTCTTCAATTAAAAAGTCCCTTGTTAGGGACTCGGACAAATGCTAACAGCGTCGCTTTACAATGTTTACAATTCAGAAAATACTACTTACGGCAGAAAAATCCTCATTCATTTAACATTGAAAAGCTGGGAGTTGCTTCTTTAATGTTGAATAGTACACAGTGATATTGTGCATGAACTTTCCAAATGTTTTATATATACCTATAAAAATATATTGGTGGCTCACACCCAGAAAGATGCTATTTGGCAGAAATTGTTAGTAGGAGAAGGGTGTTTCTCAGGAATGTAGCAAATTGAAAATGATCTATGTGCTGCCCACCCTCCCACATCCCATTCAGAGTCTGACAGTGAGTCTGATTCAGCAGTGTTGCAAAGTTAATGGAAAACCTTTTTCTAATCAAGCCAGGTGAACATGTATTCTTATTCAATAATGTTATTCATTTATGTGAATTACATAGTCATTGAATGGATTCAGTAATTCCTCTTAATTTTCAGGGGGAAAAGTGAATTCCAGAAATCTACATTTATTCTGATTATTAGGTTTTATATTTTAATTTTGCAATTTAGCATTCTAAATAACAAATACCCTCACATGATCATTTGTTCTGCATTGTGTGCACTGTACATCACTTATAACTTGTCGTTTAAAATGTTCTTTCAGGAAATGAATGCTAATCTGAAAGTAATAGATTGTATATTTGTAGTTTTTAAATTATTTGTAACAATGTCCTAATTATTACCATGCTAAATGATCATCAGTGTATATTTTTGTGCAGTTGCCCTATGACAGTTCTTGGTTCTAAAACTTACCAAATAAGTCTATATATAATCTTATGAATAACCATTTATAAAGCTTATCAAGAAAACGCCCACCCCATTAACATCAAGTGGACCAGATCTGTGGAATTCTTTTTGTAAATTCATGTAATACCATGCAGTTTGGTGCCTAATAAATGCTTTTTAATGATGAACATTTCTATAATGCTTCTTTAAGAGATATAATCTGATTTTTCTCACGTTAAAATAACTGAAGTCACTTGTGAGTCTTAGTTATACTTTGCTGCATTTTAATTAACCTTCAGTGGCTATTAAAATGGAATGTAAGTTAAACTTTGAAGGAAAGGAAATAAATGTTTTCCATTTTTCATCTTGACTTATTTTCTGTATGAAAGCAGCTGTGTTTTTGATAGGTTTATGGTTTGCATGAATTAATATTTAAAGAGGCTTAGGCCAATGCATGGCTATTGCTGTAAATCTTGATGTTTATTTCTGCCTTATAAAATTCTACCATGGCCTACCTGGAGTTTAATATTCAGTGGACAAATTAATTGGTTCTCTGCACCACTTTTTTTTAATAAGTATTTTACAAACAAATTTGAACAAATTTAATTGCAACTTTTGTTTAGCTTGCTTTTAAGAACTTTTCTTAATAAAGCTCACAAAACTTCTCAGCAAATAAATCTCCCGTAAGTAGGAAGAAAGCTAGATTTCATACATGCTTACTTTGAATTAACAGCAACTTTCCATAGGTAAATCTGCTCTTGCAAAAACGTGAGCAGAATATTAAAAAATAATAAATATTTTTATGTTTCATGGTTCTAGAATAGAAGCCATAAATGCAGTAAATACTGTTTGCTGTTTGTTTAGCTACTTCAAGCTTCATTTTTCACATTTTCAAGTTTATTAAGTTTGAAAAAAAAGGCAGCCTTGGAAGGCAGCTACTATGGAAAATTGAAGTTTGCATTAAAGATAAAATAGTGTTTCCAGCTCCATGAAAATCCATTTCTGCTGAAACTGCTGTCGAAATCGTGAAGCTGCATGAGTGGAGAGTATTGAATCTGTGATTATAGTTTTCTCAGGTTTGTTTTTCTCGATGTTCAATGCACTGTGTTTTATAAATAGTTATTAAAGTTGAGTAATATTCAATTCTCTGCAGTGTTATGTGTCATTGGCCTTTGGTGAATGTGCATGTTTTAAACTGCAAATTTTAAACATTTTGTCCTCTCATTGTTATTAAAAATGAAATAAACTGTACCATTACATAAATTGTTGCAGTTTTAATTGCTAGTTTTAGAAACTAGGTTGCTTTATAAAACCTTCAAAGCCACTGTAATTATAGTCTAAGAAGGTGTATCCACTTCATACCATTTTAACATTTTGTTGACCACCCAGGTGATATAGAAAATAGCCCTTCATGGAGTCTAGCTCGGTGAGAGGCGTGGTTAATTAATTTGAGTCCCCCGCCTGACAAAAAAAAATTTTTTTTAAATAAAATTCCTGTATTTTGATTCTTCGGTCAGAAAAGCCTCCCAGGATTGTCCCCATTACATATTTAAATCAGCCGGCAAGGCAGCCACTAATTCCTGGCTCCATCCTTTCCCGTCGGATGGATTTCCTAAGTTCTCTAAACCCACCAATTTTTTTTAAGTTCATGACAAAGTGGCCAAATGTAGCCAGTAACATTTGAAGGAAGTAACCAAAAAGATATTAAAATTGCCATGTGAGACAAAAGCACAAGAAACACTGGAAATGAGGCCAACGGCCTTATCAAAAAATAAGCATCAATTGGCAAAAGAGAAGCAACTGAAGCTGCAGTTTCATAAACTGCTAGATCAGATTAGTTCACCGAGAGGCACTGGGTGAGCAGTTTGAGAAGCCCCTGGGTTTCCTAGTGAGGGGCGGTGTGTGCTTAGGTGTCTGGGGCCCCAGGTCCTTTTCCAAAGTCTTCCCGGGGACACTGATTGGGTGTGGGTCTCCCAAGCAAAACCACAGCAAAACAAGGTGTACAGAAAAGTTTCCTGTGGATTATATTAAATGATTTGCACGTTCATCTCCACTCCCCCTTGAAGCGTAAGCACTGTGTTTATACTGACCCCGTGGTTTCAGATGCCTTCTAATATTACCTAAATGCTAAAGGAAGCAGCAAACTTGAAATACATTCTCATAAATTCAGTATGTCATCCCCATTGAATGTTTTTTGTATGCTTATGGCATCTCTAATCTCAGCTTCCATTTTGGCAACACAGAGCCACGCATTTTAATGAAGAAAGATCTTCCTAACCTGGATAATTTCACTAATAGGCTAGTAAAAATTATTGGATAATATTATGTTTTCCCATTGTTTTTATTTCAAATGCAAACTATGTATCTAGCATTTCAAATAAGAATCCTCTGTCAGAGTAATCGCTTTAATAACTGTTTAATTGCAATTTTAAAATAGCCATCTACATGTCAAAATATGTCAACAGTTTGTCCCCTTAATAGTTTAATACATCTTTAAATTCTTGTTTTTCCTGAATGTGTACTAAATATAGTTTTTTAGGTTATGCAAATGTAAATTGATCCCAACCCAATGAAATGAATCAGATTTCTAATAGTGATTGCATATGCTTTCAGGAACTTTTTGGTTATCTTGTTTTAGAAAATTTTTTTTTCCTTTGAAGCCAACTTCATTTTAGAAAATTTCTTATGGATTTAAATCAATCTGGCCAATTCTCCATTATATGACATAACTAATAATAGCACAAGAAAAAATAAATAGGTGGGGAAAATAAGAGGGAATAATCTATTCATTTGGACAATTAAAAGTGTTGGCTTTATAATGAATAATTCTAATGCAACTGTATTACATTTTTCTAAAGCAGATAATAAATGTACAGGTCATGAATACCCAACGGGGTGGGAGAGCGCTCTACTCCTGGCAACAAGGAGAAGTTGGCCAGGTATCAAATTGGGCCATGGATTTTCTTGGACTCATTCCATCAAACCATGGGGCCATTTTCTCTGTTCCCCACACTCCAATCAACAGTTACATCTAACCTCCCACAATATTTAGCCTTTTGTTTCTGTTCTAGGGTAGATCATCTGCTTTCTATTATTTATCGTTAACCTACTACACAGCTCTCTCTCCACTAGAACGCAAGTTTTTGGAGACGGTGACTCTAACTTCTTAACTTCTCAAGACAACCCTATGCAATAAGGTGCCATTAATATCTCCATTTTACAAATGAGAAAACTGAGACACAGTGAAGATAAGTGGCCCAAAGTCATTCAGCTTATAATAAGTGACAGAGCTAGAAAATTAACCCAGACACTATGACTTCAAAATCCCTGCTAGGTCACATGGTCTCCTGAGTTTCTCATGTGCAAAGGGAGAAATGTTTGTCATCTAATATTTCTATTCATGCTTTATATGCTGTGATTCATAATGTAGCACAAAATCTGACTGTTACAATGTCCTCTATTCTATAGGATATCATATCTATAGGATGTGTACAATTTAACACGTTTTCCCCAGAAGATTTTCTGAAAAGCAGGTTGACTGTTTTTTTCCTGAGAAAATTAGGCCTTCTAGAAATTCTAGAAAGTTCATTCTACTGGGGAGGGAGCATGTAGTAAGTTATATGTCCTAAAGAATGTAGAATTTCAAAACAGCCCGCCGGAGTTCGAATCTTGGCTCTGCTATTAGTGTCTGAACTTGGGCACAGCATTTAACCTTTCTGCTTTGACTTCTTCATCTGCAAAACAGGCATGATGAAAACCCCTACTTCAGGCTTGTGGAGATTAAATGTTATAATTCATAAAGCACTCGGGACACACACAGTGCCTAGTAAATGGCACCCATTATTTGCATAAGTACCTTTCAAAGTGCAGAACTTCCGTTCTTCAAAATAATGGTGATTTTAGGACGTTAGGACTCAAATTCTTTGTGAAAGTAATAAAGCATTAATCAGCCAAATTTCCGCTGTATTTTGATGTTGTGGCAAGTTGTGGCAAGCCTCTCTTTGGAAATTTCAGGTGATTTGACGTGACCCTTGCTCTCTAAACTTTCTAAAATGGAGATGTGATCAAGCTGCTTTCCCTCATGGAAGCCTTCAAGGTTCTCCCTTGCATTTGGTGTATA